TCATAGCACGGTAACATTTTGAATACAGTTAAGAAGAAATTATCGATAAATTAGCTCCCAAGCTGACCCCGCGAGAGAAGTCATTACATATTTTAATTAAAAAGATGCTTCATGTCAGTTCAAAACAAAATGGCGTGCGTTTTAATAACTTTTTTACGAGGTTTGACATTAATTTTCTCGAGAATGCTTGAGAATTTAATTGCGGGGTCACTTGGAGAAGTGAATGAAAGTGATATGTTTCAAATAGTATTCAAAATGTTACCGTGCTAAACGTAGTTTTTTAGTAATTAATGTTTGCACTTATTGCTCGAACGTTGAGCGGAATCCCTCTTAACACTAATCTTGGGTTCTAATCCAGGATTAGCTTTTATAAAAAGTAAATGAAGGTTTTATTTTTCTCTTGTCTAAAAGTGTTTTTCACTGCTAAAGTTTTAAAGAGTTTCAGATTACTCACAATTCAAAACGGTCAAAATATAAACAGAAAACCTCACTGAAAAGTTACAAAACTGAAATAAATATTGACGCTAATCCTGGATTAGCTTAATCATCCCTTGAACCTTGAGCCATGGATATGTTGTAGTTTAAAATTATTTTAGGTTAAAATGATTTCAAACTAGTTTGATTTTGATTTTTCTTTGTCTTATGATTATGGTAATAAATCTGAAACAAAGGAAAATAAAAATTAAACTGGTTTGAAATCATTTTGACCTAAAATTCATTTTAAACTACAACAGACATATCAAAGACATTATTCACAAAAACATGATTTGCATCATCTAACCTCTCCAGCTGATAAATCCTCATCTTCATGCCTGAATAAAAATTGCACAAATAATAAATTAATTAAACAGGGTGCAAAGAAATCATATTTTCCAGGATGCCCTTTGGGCAAGTTGGAGCCATTGTGTGCTAGCCAGCGAAGGCCTTTCTCATTGGCACCAACTAAAAAAAATGTCCAAAAATTTACTTGTCTGTCGGGCAAGTGATGGATAAAATGCACTACCCCAACAGAAAAAATACACTAGCCCCAGGCTATCGGACAGCAGCTTTCTTTGCACTCTGTTAAAACCCAATAGTGGGAACCCTGCCTTATGGCCACCTTGTACAGTGTACATGTAATTATTATTATAGGAATATGTTTAAAATATTGACCAAGAAACCTTTTAAAAACCGTCAAATTTAGTAACAGATATTTGTACGTGGCAAATGTCTGTAAATCTTGCAAGTCTGAAGCAGGTTTCAAGCCTTTTCCTTTCAAACTTGGCATGATAACTAAATTTTACATGCACTTCGTAGTTGTGATGATCTGTTTTTAAATCGGGTGAATTCTAAATTAATTAAATAGAGATGTAAACATTCAGCAAAACTTGCCCTACATGTATATACTATTCGACATCCCAGACATCCGTGGACAAGGTTTTTTTTCACTATGTGGATTATCAACTCAAGTTGATAAAGGTAAATTAACCGCTGTAGTGAATTTCTAAAAGCTTCTAGAAATTCGCTACGGTGGTTAATTTACCTTTATCAACTTCGTGTTGATAATCAACATAGTGTTTCACTTGCCCGCCGATGCAGCACCACAGTTTCATTAGAAACTAATTCACTTTGTTTTTTTTTCAGCCCACTTCACACACCGTTGGTTTCATTCCACAGTTTAAAAAAAAGTCATAACGCGATACTATTTTTGTGGCTTACACAACCGCTAAAGTCGAACCGTGGAATGAAACAAGTGGACTGAAAAAAACAACCAGGTCCACAGATATCTGGGATGGATAGTATTATAGTTGACCACTTGTGATAGTTCAAAAGTTAATTATGCAGCTTACCTTTTAGATGAACTTTGTTCCATTTTTCCTGATTGTTGCAGATTCATGTTATTATTCACGCACTGTTCTTTAAGACCATTTGATAATTTTGTATTGTTATTTACAGTTTTACTTGTAGTTGTTGTATTTCTTTTTTTATCCACGTCTTTGGCTGGCACTTTACTACTAGCTGGAATATTTTCTTTTTTATTATTCTTTTGCTGCAAGAGAGAAACGGATTATCATTAAAGATAATTTTTTTATCATCAAGTCATTCATTCAAATGAGGCCTTGTACTGCAGCAGCTACACTGTATGCAGAGGAGACAGGAACATAATGTTTTCTGCTGTTTCTCCCTCTTCCTTTTATGTTGTTTGTCCCTCTGCCCTAATTTTTTCAGCCGTTCTCCCTTCTCCATTTTTTTCAGCCATTTCTCCCTCCTACCCTACTTTTTTGGCCATTTCTTCCGCCTGCCTAAAACCATTCCCCTTCCCACTGCACAGATGTGTTGTGTACCTGTTGTATATTTTCTTTTTCATCTTTTCCTTTCTTCTCCCTTTCTTTTCCCTCTTTCTTTCTTTGTTTCTCTGTCATAAAAAAAGAAGTACAGTTTGAGCCTTACAGCTGTATGTGCAACAGAGCATGAAGAGGGGAGGTGAGGTGAGACAGTTTGAGCCTCTCACACATGGACACCCTTGGTAGAGGCAGATCAAGGAAATACAGAAGGGGGCTCTAGCAGTTGCGGCAAGACCATAACCTCTATGCGACACTCCCCTTGGCCCCACCCCTAAATCCGCCTATGCTTGGGACCAGAATAAGCATCCACTCAAAAGAGGTGTCCATTTATGGGAGGATTATAATAATGTTAAGTGTTTGCATATGGCAGCACTTGTCCCGACTGAGTGTCTGCTTAACTTTAGGAGAGGTGACTGAATATGGGAAATGGCCATTAGTGGATAGCAGTAAAGGGGAAAATGAAAATCGAACCTTTTTTTTCGCTCTTCTTTTTTCTGCTTTTTTTCTGTCTCTTTCTTCTTCCTCTATAAGTTCTTTAGCATTTTTCATGGCTTCCTGCGGGTTTTAAAGGAAAATTATCTGTCAGTCAATCTAATAGGAGAAGATAATTTACGAAAGCCTTTTCGACAAATCAATCCCCTGGCAGGCCTAAAAAAAAAACCCAGTCCGGTTGTCCGGGACAAGTAGATTTTCCTGTCGGGCAAGTAACTTTCTCTGCTCACTTGCCCGACGGGCAAGGGTGGCCCTGTCCATGTGTCCGAGGATTACAACAAGGTTGTCAAAAGTACCCTCAAACCTCAACTAATACATTAAATGTATACAAATTTTGTATGACGAGAAAGCAATGTTGAAGTAAAGAAGCAGTCAAAGTCAACTCACCGCTTCTGATAAGTTATGTGCAGGCCGGCCAGCTAGAAACAAAAATATTCTAGATTAACAATACAGCCCAGTAAATTACAGTTGTAAGGTTCACTCATTTTACTAAACAGATTTAACCTTCTAACAAGCTAAGGTAACCACGCTTGTTATGTTATAAAATTAGGGGATTTGATGGCTGATTAGATTTGCATCATTTTTTGTGTTTACCGCCTGTAATAATCCTGGTTAAATCTGCTAAAACATGACATTGAGACACGTTCACTTTCAGCAAGACACTAACAAGAAATCTTGCTACTTTCTATTGAGAACCCCTTTTTACTGTATGAAATAAACAAGATACTATGTGAACTCTGATTGGCTCAAAACCATTTACCAAAACTCTATGGAAACATACATGTACAAGTCATGTAGAAAATTGCTTTGTGCTTTTATTAATAAAAACAATAGAAAACGTTTTTCCCTGCATGTGTTTCCACAGAGTTATGGTAACACTTGTGAAAGTTTGGTAGAACTCGAAACTGCTGTGGAAACACGAGCCGCACAGCATTTCTAATTCTCCCAAACTTCACTTGTGTTACCATAACTCTATGGAAACACGGAAAACGTTTAGTATAGAAACAGTACACTGTTAGCAATCAATACAAACAGATTACAAGCTATCTTTCCTACTTACTAGTTGCTTTTTCTGTGGGTTTTCTTTCATATTTTTTCCTAAAACTCCGTGCTATACTTTGAAGAATTTCGTCATCCAACTCATCGTCGTCATCATCATCATCATCGTCATCACTGTCACAACTGTTGTCTGAGTCATACATTCCAGGACAGCAACCAAACATTCCTAAACAAAACAATCACCAAAAATTTTAAAAAGTAGTTATGTAGCAGGATGGAGGGCTTGAACCTGGGACCTCCGGATTACAATACCAGTCCCAAAACCACTCGGCCACGCTGCCTCCATAAGTAAGTCTTGGTTTTAGTTTTACAACAATTACTAGAAAACTGTTCTATCAGTCCTCGCTGGTTTGAATGAATGATCTACAATTTACATACATGTAGAAGTAACAAGCACTGAATCTAAGGGTTCAGATTTTATAAAAACTAAAGTCTTGTCTGAAATACACTGTAAGGTCTCTCCATGTTGGATTCAGCCAGCCCTATATTTGTACCACACATAACTGAGATTTACTTACCATTTCGGTGAAAGAAAATGTGAGCAAAGAGGTCAAACATATCCGCCTGCAAGTTAGGAAGAAATGGACCAAACTGTCTTAAAAGGAATGACTATCAAAATAGGCCAAATTCCAGAATACATTATTACTGCCACTTTATTTTGGCCTGAGCAGTCAGTTAGGCCAACTTCATTAACATACCCCAATAATATGGCCAGATTTTTTTGGCTGGTGTCGGTGGGCAGATTAATGACAGAAATAAAACATGGAAATAGTATAGATCACAAAATCAATTGAAAATAGACACACTACTTACAGGAGTCAAGTTAATTTCATCATCAGAGTCTTCACTTGTTAGCCGCTTGTATGCTGAAGACACTTCTTGGAATTTCTAGAAATAAAAAAGTTTGTCAAAAAAGGTAAAGCCACACTTTGGCTCATAGCACTCGCGGAGCTTATCCTGGTTTCTGTAGCATGAAGTCGACTAGGAGTATTGCTACTCCCCTGGATGGGATGCTAGTCCATTGCAGGTTGCCTCCCAGCATTTTGTCGCCAGTACCCATTTATACAAGTTCCTGGGTGGGGAGAGGCACTGTGAGAGTTAATCTTGCCCAAGAACACAACACAATGACCCCAGCCAGCACTCGAACCTGGATCGCTCGATCTGGAGTCCAACACGTTAACCAATCGACCACCACGTCTCACACAAAGCAAAGCTTGTCAAGCATACAATCAACATAATAATAATGAACATGCTTGACTTACCTCGGTAGCTTCTTGACTGTTGTTGTGTTTGTCAGGGTGCCACTTCAAAGCAAGACGTTTGTAACTGGATCGAATCTCTTCGTTACTGGCTCCTGAAAACATATCAATGTATAACATGTTACCCTGATGTCTTTTATTTTCATTGGGTTTAAATTTTGTGAAGAGCTTGTGAACTGGTCAGCAAAATTTCATTGGAATTTTTTATGGTGGGATGTGGTGCTAATGATACCAAAGGGGAATTACACCTTGTTTTTCACAACTTTTTCTGAAAAACATTACATGAATGAATATTGAGACGGCACTCAGTGTTCTCATTTGAACCCGTAACACCTGCGAGGGGTGTTACTACAGTGTAGTAAGTGTTACGACTGGCTTCATAGCTCAGTGGCAGAGCGTTTGCTCCAGAATCACAAAGTTATGGGTTTGAATCCCGTTGGAGCCTGAATTTTTTTAGGACTTCTTTTTAACTGCTTAGTTGAAACATAACTGTGAAGATCTCATTCTATTTCGTTCTTTCCACTGCAGTTCACATATATGAATCATTTCATATATTCATACTTTACTTTTACTTTCATCATCACCACAATGTACTTTGACACTTTCCTTTGCACTTTGATCTCCTTGATTTAATTGGAAAGTAGTTAAGTTGAATTTATTGAGGTAAAGGTCCATAACAAGCACTCAAAAGTGTCTTAATTCTGTCTTTGTAAAGCAATATTGACAACATTCCCACACTTCCTGTTTAAAAATAATAACTATTTTGTTTTACTTGGAATAAAACCTAAACAAAGACGGAGATCAAACACCGGAATTTAGTGGACATCGAACAGTACCCTTTTAATTGCTTGGTAAATGCAGTAAAAAATCACATCATATTATAATTCAGTCAATACTGAAATTGACAGAAGTCCGAACAATAGTTCGAATTTCGTCACGCAATTTTTAGGAGCTCGAAGAACTACGGGTCAAGATTCGAATTAAACACAAAATGCTTTGAACGAAAAACCCCGAGGCAACGAACTGAGAGACATCAGCAAATTATACATCAATTTGGAAAGAATATTGTGCATTCTTTCGCTTTAAAATAGTCCACTAAAGAGAGATAGAGATCGCGAAATATACACCACCTTGAAGAAGTGTTTATTTCACGCTGAAACCAAATTTAGTGGATTCGAAGGCATAATCTAGAAAAGAGAATACAAACCTAATGGAAGCTCCAAGACTGTGAACGCCTCGCTTTTCGTAAGGCCCATTTTTAAAGTTCTAGAATCGACTTAGCTCAAAGTTTTGCAGGACAGAAAGTCCGCCATGTTTCCTACTTTTCACGTGTAAGGTTTTGGCGCGAATGTAGAATTCTGGGAAATTTAAAGTCTCGTGACTCCGGATCACGTGCTCTATTACCAGCGGTTAACTTCAGTAGTGCCAGTGCTTCTCTTAGAAATTGACACAAAACCCGACAAAAAACCTATTTTGTTTGAATTTAATAGCAAAATTTAGCACAAAATGTGGCTTCGACGTGCTTACAATTGAATGTTGTTCTTTGCTAAGAGCAAGCCGATGATTTTATTGACATTTTTGTCCTTGGTAAGAAACGATAGTCGATATGATTTGTAAAACTTTGACAACTTGAGATTCGATCTCCAGTAAGCTTATATTTGCTAACAGTTTCGTGGGCAAGTTTAAATACGATGGTTTATACTATGGCTGAAATAAAATCAGGACCTTTATCACCAAAGAAGCCGGTCAAAGAGAAAATCGTTGGAATCTATGATGATTTCTTTAAGGTATGTACATGTACGTGAGTGAGATATACATATGATCATAATATTTAATATTTTACCACGTACCAAAATCAAAGTGATCAGACATGTACATGCAAGCTTACTTGTTTTAAAGACATGTCTGATTACTTTGTTTTTATAACTTGTTTAGGCTCAAGCTTCCTAAATCAGAACTTATTATTTTTATTGATTGATTGATTGATTGATTGATTACCCTGTGTAATAAGTCCCCTGCTGCTCAAGATATGAATTCGCCAATGAAGGAAGGGACAGAAAAGAAAGAAATATAAGGAAAGACCCCACAAGGAGGAGGGTGGGGTGGTTGGATAGTGAGAGAAAAAGTGGTAATTGGAAAGTGGACGCACCAAAGTGGACGCACCAAAGTGGACGCACCAAAGTGGACGCACACCAAAGTGGACGCACCAAAGTGGACGCGGTCTTCGTTCTGGCTCATTTTCCCGAACAGCGGCTGGTAATCGAGCATTAACAAATGAGGCTAATGGGCCAATACAATGCCAGATTGACCCTTTCGCCTCGTTTGTAACAATACCAGATTGACCCTTTCGCCTAATCTCGTACCCAGATCACCGGGCCTTGCGCCTTGTTTGCATGTCAAACCGCTGACATCTGTAATAACTGCTGTTACTTTTAATAAGTGAATACATGTACATAATATCAAGCTTTTAAAAGTAATATGGAAACAAATTAACATAATTACTTTACTCACTACACATTACTCATTTCTTTCACACAGCTTTACAAGAGTTTTATTTTTTTTCAGGGAGATGATCCATCTCGTGAAAGTCCAAATTTCTGGCATGAATTTTTTCTCATGAGGGTGAGTGATGAGTTATGATTCATTATTAAAGTTATTTAAACATATAACAGTGAGAAATAAGTTTCAAATAGTGGATAGATTGTAAGCACTGTTACTATTTAGAAAAATAGAAAATGGCTTATGTTTACATAGCCTGAATGATGCAAACACAAGAGAAAGTTGGGAGAATTCAAAAGTTTGTGTAAACCCGAGTTGAAGGCGAGGCCTTAAGTACTAAATTCTCCTAAACTTTCTTGTGTTAATACATCGGCAGCCTACATGTATGTTACAAACAAGAACCAGCCATTTTCTATTTCTTTGATGAAATAAAGCCAACAAAATGCAGTGATACATCATAACCATGTTACATGGCCTCTGATGCACTTAATGACTACACAACCAATCAGAATGCGCATTATACATCCACCACCATGATCACTGCGACCCCCACCATGACCACTGAGACCACAACCATGACCACCGCGACCACCGACCACCGCAACCACCATTTTTAATTATATGACCTATCTCAATAATGCTATTATTATTGTCTCTGAGGTATGTATATTGTCCATCCACATCAAAAGTCAGACCTAAATTTGTATTTATAGCTTTATTGAGCCATATAGGCATAGCAGTCCCACCCACGTCTTCCCTAATCCCCCCAACTGTAAATCAATCCCTGAGTGCTAGTTAGTCTGTCATGTATTCAAGAAAGTGTTTAAGGTATCAGCCACCCTTCAGGACCGTCCGCGCGCGGATCGCTGTAGCGTTAGTTGTTTTTATAAAAAATCCTATAAACCATATATTTTTTGAAAGTTTAATAATTCCAGATTATGGCTTTTTACTAAAAAAAACGATAAACTTAAATGTGTTTCGAAAATGGGAAGCTTTGTGTAAAAGTACATGTCTTTATAAATCATGTTCCAGTCCCTCCGGAAATAAACAGAAGAAAACGATTAACACCGTATTCGCTTCTCAACACGTTCGGCTAAAAAACCGTGTCTCAGATTTTTGACAAGTGCGTTTGTTTTTCTTTTATTGGCAAATGAAGTTGGGAGTGACAATTAGTTAGCACTCCCTGTGGAAAAAAAGCTCTAGCTTTAAAATTAAAAGGAGTATTAAAATTCGCAGACGCGGTTTTGTAGAAGAGATGTATGTCATCATTCTGGCCAAATTTCAGCCAAATTGGTTGAATGGCTGCCGACTTGGAGTTCAATACGCACGCGTCGCTCGGCAAATGTGCGCTGTTTTGTGTCGCAGAATCAATTCAACCGGCTAAAATTAACTTTAGGTAGTATTTGTACAGGGCGACTTCATTTTTGCTTTTAATGGATTTGATGGAAGTCACTTTGCTTTGACTCTGAAAGTGGTAGGTGAAACCTTTGTCGCTCGCTATGAAATCGGCCACGCAGCGCAGACAATTATTCATATTGTATGTAATTGGATAATTGAATAAATATGACTGAAATGTCAACAGCTAATTACAGAAAAATAATGAAGGAAATCTTTCATGTTCAATAACTTTCCACAGAAATAACATTTTGAGGTAGAATTTTTTGGAAATAAAAGCTCTTTGCGAGATCTACCAGAATTTCAAAAAATTGAAAATTTCACAAAATGGTAATTTTGAAGGGTGGCTGATACCTTAAGGAGATATACTTAACATTTTCTGTCTTTAAGGTCAATGCTGTGTACTTGGAACAGTGTATTGATAAGCTCAGTGAAGAAGAACTTATGGATGTTAAGGTACAAGTTACAAAAGATAAACATCTAAACAAAACAGTTACATGACTTGTGGGGATGGGTGGGGGTGGGGAGGTAACCCGGGAGGGGTAACCCCTTCACTGACTTGTGGACTGTATGAGCTGTCTCAGTACCATTAACTTACAATAACTTACATGTATAATTTATGCTTTACCGCTTATTATACATGATAATATTATAATTTTTTTATTATATAGGGCAATTGAATTCTGATTGGGCTTACTAACTCTTAATTAATTCATTTAATTAGGAAAACCTCAACCTTCTGTTTTCTCAATGCTGTATTGCTTTGCGAGGAGATCACCAAATAAAACTAGTCAATGCTCTGCAGGTATGTATTAAACATCTACTTCTCCTTACAAATTGAATACAGCATGTACATTGTCAGGAAACAGGCCAACAAGACAATAATATAGGTCCTGGAGTATATGTTTTAATTACTAATAAGCTATGTTGTCTCTGTACTTTCAGACGCTGTGTGCAATAGTCCGGGCGGTTTACAGAAAGAGATTAGGGGACCATGGGTTTGACATCATTAACATTTTGATTGGTTTTGATGCTGCCGAAGCAC